TTCAGGTTATATTTTTAAAAGAAAAACTTCTAACAACTAATTGTTTTCTATTTTTATTGGTTCAAAAGCTGAAAAAATAATTAAAATATTGTTTCCATTGATTTTTGTATCGTAAATGTTTTTGAGCTACAAAAAATCGCAGTCATAAATACATGTAACATCAGAGATATGTTTATATGTAGGTGTAAAAAATGACATGTTCATTTATGTAGTTTTTCACCGACATTTTACATCAAGCGCGGTGACATTGACGTCATTATGCACCCCTGCAAACCCCCCCCCCCCACTGGGGTCCCCCTTATTGCCCCCCCCACTGGGGTCCCCCTTATTGCCCCCCCCCCACTGGGGTCCCCCTTGTTATTTCAGCTCAAGGGTCAACTGCAATACCCACAAACATTTACACAACAAAGTGTCGATAGCAGCATTTGCATGGATCAAGGAAAACACAAACATAAACAATAACACTGGCTCTGCATAAACACACAGGGGTGTGGGGCATGGGTAAACAAAATGTTTGGAACAAAATATATAAACTTGACGAGAAACCTGTTCGATATTGTAAGTAGACATCTAAAACTATTTATAAATCGATTTATGTGTTGTGTGTTTATACTGAGTAAGCTGGTGTGGACTTAATTTGTAAGGGTTTAGTTTGCAGTGTAGATGTTAATTAGTGGTAGCAATGTCCGATAAGGAGAAACACTTTAAAATGCTAAACTAGGCATGCTAGATATTTTACATGGAAATAAAAATAAATTGATAAAAAATCAATACCCTCACCAGAGCGCATACCTACAAATTTATATTTTCCTGATTGGATTTGTATTCAATATTTTCATTAAAACTAACTTGGTAAGTTTAACGAGTGTCCAAGTTTACTGATATAAAGGAAGATGGCATTTTTTACACTATTGCATGCTTTTTGAGAACATCTTGGATAACTACTATATACCACTAAACCAGATTTACGGTAACATTAAATCTAGTCCCTTAAAAAACCCCATTTATTTCGGTCTAATAATTTGTCATACCTCTGTATTTCAGTATTCAAAATAAATTGTACAGCTAGAATAAAAGACAGGATCAACATATTTTCCGGTAAATGAGCACACAGACCACTAAGACTCAGGATTTCAGACCTGCACCATAGAAGAAGGGAAACAAAACCAGCGGTGTAGATGTCGCCTAAACGTCAAAAGTCCCCACTCCCCCACCAAAACAGCCCCCAGCGTCCGTCCCTCATTACGACAAATTCCATAGCAGCTGTCAAATTGAAATAATGTAATACTCAATACCGGGGTTTCCTTTTATTAAAAATTCTTAAACGCGTTTTGTGAGCAAAGAAAGAATTCCGTTAATTATGTAAACCTTACAAACTCCTTGGGGGAGGCAATATGATTTTGAAATATTTCCGTCGAAAATATTTTAGAATGAATTTATAATGGGAAATTCTAAGACATGGTGTGAAATTGTGAGTCAGGACAAGTCTATAGCAGTGTGTGTTTACCTACGACCGTTTAACAAGCCTTTTCAGTTCAGTTCTTAGAGTTAAAAAGATTTAAATTGCAGAATTTTTTAATTAACAGCACTAGTATCGGACCAATGAGGTTCAAGGATTGAGAGAAAACAAGTGAAATTATTGTAAAGCTTCGAACGTCAACCTAGCAGCTGTTAAGAGCAATTTAATTGTTGAGTCACATCAAAATCAGTGGCAATAAGAGGTCATAAACGAAAACATAACCTCTCTTAGACGTTATGAGTAGTGATTGTTAGTAATTAAAAAATGATCGTAGGTAAGTCTACATAACTAGTCTTAACACGTTGCGTAAACTACTATTAAAACCCTGACTTTAAGTGTCATTTCAATGTTGAACGTTGTATGTGAATTTATAGACAACAAATAGTACCTTATTTCCAAAAGTAATCATGGATTTTCTATTCTATTATTTTTGTACAGTGCCATTTTTTTCTAACAATATAAGAGAGACACAGGTCTCCATCAACTACATTTACAGGACGGGAAATGCAAAATAGGTTTCATATTTCAATATCATAAAACGTCTTTGCCGTATCCATAGGCAAAGATAAAACGAACTGTAAAAGGCTAAAGTATGCGGTAAAACTCAATTAGTTTAATTAATTTGTACAAAATCTGAGTCACCAGCTCGACACTCTTTGCGTTATACAAAGTCACTTCACATTACTTGCAGCCATTGAATATTTGACTTGAGTCCTTTTGAAAAGCCTCAACCCCTCTGAGTCCTTAGAGAAAATGAAACAGAGTTGACGCTACTGGCTCATTTGGTTAATGGAATGTATCTAAAACAAGGAAAGTATTGCGTTTACTTGTAAAACTTCTTAAAATATCACTTACAATGTAATAAGTGTGATAGGCCTACCTTGCCTCCTTATTTTCATGTGTTAAGTAGGTCAAGTTGTAAAAAATGCAGAAACAATTTTTCATTAGGCTATCAATTATTGCAATATAACAAAAAGTCGAATATGTATAGTGACAAGAACAGGCATTGTACAATTTTTACGAACAAAAAACACACACACTGCGAATGATTTAGAAGATTTTATGCAAGCTAAGCTAGGACCAAAAAGGTGACAGTAGAAAATAAACATTAAGTGGGCCTAAATCGTAAACACTGATTAAAGAAAATATTTTCTGTTTTGATTCAAAGTGCATGTTTATATATTAATCCATTAAGTACATATAGTTCCTCATGCTTAAAAAAACACTGACTAATATTTTTGTGAACGTAATCTGGTGGACAATATTTTGCACTAATACTAATCATAATGGTGTTCATTTTGTACATACTTAGAAATCAAACTTTATTCAGTTTCTTTAAAGTGTTCAACTTAATATTATTAACATTAATATCAAAATTTTACATTACATAATACAACAGAAAACCACGCCTAAGTTAACATAACATATAGCAAATATTAATCTGGTTTAAAAGGGGTGAATTTTTGCTGAACATACCCTTAGTATCCCCTACTTAAAAACGCAGCCCGCGCTTTTTCACATAATGTGTTTGGACACAAAAACTTATTCACAGATCTGTTCTTTTGCAGAACGAAGGGTAAAATTACACAAAAACTCCCCTCGTCCTTTTTGAGAGAATTTTGACACTCAATGGGACATGTCGCTCGGAGCCTCGGGGCGTTTTGGGATCATTAAATGCTCGATTCCCCAACGTGAAATTGTATCCTCTATTAGCAAATGAGCTCATAAAGTACCTTCTCTTTATATTGTGAAAACGTGGAAAACGTGAATTGTTACTTTGCCCGGATTTTACCATGCAATAATAACATCAAAATGCAAGTTATATTGTTAAAATATTTAGGTGCCCCACCTGTCTCTATATGCCTCTATTAGGAAAATGAGCTCATAAAGTACCTTCTCTTAATACTGTATTGTGAAATCTCGTATGGACTGTAACTTTAAAAGGGGTTTTGCCATGCCATAATGGCATTAATACAAATTATATTGTTTGAATTACATGACAAAAAATTTAGGGTTCCCCACCATAAAACTGTATTATCTATTAGCAAATGAGCTCATAAAGTACCTTCTCATAATATTGCGAACATGTGACCCACAAATTTTACCATAAGTATATTACATTATAAATTAGATTGTATAAATATTGTTTGTCTTCTGAAAAATATGATTTCCGAATCTAGAACTGTACCCTCTTTAAAGAAACCATAATGCACCTTCACTTTATATTAAGAGTACCAGTAACTTACATTTAAAGACAAAGTTTACTTTGTAAGGTTATAAAAATAGTCTTTATAATTATCATCATCATCTTTTTTATTGATTTCCCTCAAGGGGTACATCAAAAAAATACATTTACAAAATACAATTACTGTACATGCAAAATAACCAAGGTTGGTAAATAAGGTTGTAAACTTTATAATTATAATGTCACATAATTCTGTCTTTACAAACAGGATTATTTGAAAAACAGGTAATAAAATGATTTATAACTGCATCAACGACAAAAGTAGTCTGCAGCTTTTTTTATTCATAGATTTATCATACCGTTTTAAACTGTCTCCCTTAAAGACTGCGGATGGCAAATTCGATGTATGTTTATGTCTCATAACGTTTATTTGTATTTTACTAAGTTGATGATCAATTTGAACATTTTTGACTAAATAGACCCATATTTAAAAATAATAACTCTCTGGTACGTATTGTAATAAAGCATACGCTGTAGAATTTTCAATAAAAACAGGGAGAAATTTAGTCATCATCAACGTATTCAAAGTGGTAAACGTAAAAACACGCATAACTAGATATTCCTTAAAAATTGTCTTATGATCTTCTGATTTTGAATCTTGTGATTGGCAATATAAACTTTGGATCTACTCATTTTGGATCTGGTGAAATGTCCCCATTAAAATTACCATGTTATTCTTATGAAAAATGAGTCAATCGTTGTAGATTGCTTGTTATGGACCTTTTTTCAATCCTCTTTTCTTGTCAATGGATTAATTTTATATTTTGTATGTGCTACATGATATAGACATGCTACATATAGATTTTACTAAAAAACACACTTTACTTTACTACCCTCCCTGAAGCAGCAAACCTAAGTACATGTTTTCATGTTATTCAATTACGGACTCAATCTGATATATTTAAAGAAATATTTAAGTGGAAATCCAATCAGGCAAATGGAAATTCGGTTAGTCAGCAGGTTAGCTGAGGTGGGGGTATTTAATGTTATCTAGTTTGTTATTATCATAATCTAAACTAAGTAAAACCAAACTGAACTTAACTAGCATAAACTAAGTGCCAAAGCACACTGTATAAAAAGACCTCTTGAAAAACAAACAATATTTATCGCGTGAAAACTGCATCTGAGTCTATATAAATATCGAACTAATACTCGTAGGTTCACCTAACTGGGATGTATGGTTCTAGGGTTGTAAATAATCCAATAATAAGTCAACAAGATTTTTATTTGGTTGATTATCCTTATTCAGACGAGAACTTCAGATGTTCGGGAAAGTGTATAAACCTGGCTAGTTGTCTTCAATTAACCAAATAGGTTTTTCCACTTTTAAGGCCTCGTTGCTAGTCCAATCCTTTGTCTTTGGGCAACTGACGTAATAAGGGTCGGTTCGAAGAATTCGAACTCTCGCTTTAAAATCATCGGATTCCAAAAAAATGTGCGTTTTATAACATTTTCCCCAAAAGTTATTCCTTTTAAATACAAGGGTAAATTTGTAATCATCAACGGCGTTCTTATCGACTCTGTTTATGTATATTCCTTCGTCCGTACAACGGTCTAGAAATAGCGTGTCCAAGATTATATCCTCATACGTTATGTATAGTCTTGCCATTGTTTTTGTGGTCGTCTTTTTGGTGCTGCTAATTGTTTCCTCTGTGTATTGTTGGCAATTCATCATGATTTTCGAATTAGCTTTCGCATTGAAAGTAATAGGTTTGCCGACAGGATTTTGAATTTTTTTATAATCCATGATTTCAGACGTATCCGATGGTAAAAAGTAATCTATAAAAACCAGTAAATTAATTAAAAATGTCAATACAATGGCAAGGTTACAGGAGTGGAGGAAAGAGAGAACGCTGTTCTGTAGATCTGCTGTATGATAAAGTTACACAATGCAATGGCAAGGTTACAGGAGTGGGGGAAAGAGAGAATGCTGTTCTGTAGATCTGCCGTATTGTAAAGTTACACAATGCAATGGCAAGGTTACAGGAGTGGGGGAAAGAGAGAATGCTGTTCTGTAGATCTGCCGTATTGTAAAGTTACACAATGCAATGGCAAAGTTACAGGAGTGGAGGAAAGAGAGAATGCTGTTCTGTAGATCTCCTGTATGATAAAGTTACACAATGCAATGGCAAGATTACAGGAGTGGGGAAAGAGAGAATGCTGTTCTGTAGATCTGCCGTATTGTAAAGTTACACAATGCAATGGCAAAGTTACAGGAGTGGAGGAAAGAGAGAATGCTGTTCTGTAGATCTGCTGTATGACAAAGTTACACAATGCAATGACAAGGTTACAGGAGTTTGGAAAAGAGACAATGCTGTTCTGTACATCTGCCGTATGATAAAGTTACACAATGCAATGGAAAGGTTACAGGAGTGGGGGAAAGAGAGAATGCTGTTCTGTAGATCTGCCGTATTATAAAGTTACACAATGCAATGGCAATGTTAGAGGAGTGGGGGAAAGAGAGAATGCTGTTCTGTAGATCTGTTGTATGATAAAGTTACACATTGCAATGGCAAGGCTACAGGAGTGGGGGAAAGAGAGAATGCTGTTCTGGAGATCTGCCGTATTATAAAGTTACACAATGCAATGGCAAGGTTACAGGAGTTTGGAAAAGAGACAATGCTGTTCTGTTCATCTGCCGTATGATAAAGTTACACAATGCAACAGGAGGGTTACAGGAGTGGGGGAAAAAGAGAATGCTGTTCTGAAGATCTGCTATATGATAAAGTTACACAATGCAACAGGAGGGTTACAGGAGTTTGGGAAAGAGAGAATGCTGTTCTGAAGATCTGCTATATGATGAAGTTATACAATGCAACAGGAGGGTTACAGGAGTTTGGGAAAGAGAGAATGCTGTTCTGTAGATCTGCTACATGTAAAGTTACACAATGCAACGGGAGGGTTACAGGAGTTTGGGAAAGAGAGAATGCTGTTCTGTAGATCTGCTATATGATAAAGTTACACAATGCAACAGGAGGGTTACAGGAGTTTGGGAAAGAGAGAATGCTGTTCTGAAGATCTGCTATATAATAAAGTTACACAATGCAACAGGAGGGTTACAGGAGTTTGGAAAAGAGAGAATGCTGTTCTGTACATCTGCCGTATTATAAAGTTACACAATGCAATGGCAAGGTTACAGGAGTGGGGGAAAGAGAGAATGCTGTTCTGTAGATCTGCTGTATGATAAAGTTACACAATGCAATGGCAAGGTTACAGGAGTGGGGGAAAGAGAGAATGCTGTTCTGTAGATCTGCCGTATTATAAAGTTACACAATGCAATGGCAAGGTTACAGGAGTGGGGGAAAGAGAGAATGCTGTTCTGTAGATCTGCTGTATGATAAAGTTACACAATGCAATGGCAAGGTTACAGGAGTGGAGGAAAGAGAGAACGCTGTTCTGGAGATCTGCTGTATGATAAAGTTACACAATGCAATGTCAAGGTTACAGGAGTGGGGGAAAGAGAGAATGCTGTTCTGTAGATCTGCCGTATTATAAAGTTACACAATGCAACGGCAAGGTTACAGGAGTGTGGGAAAGAGACAATGCTGTTCTGTAGATCTGCTGTATTATAAAGTTACACAATGCAATGGCAAGGTTACAGGAGTGAGGGAAAGAGAGAATGCTGTTCTGTAGATCTGCTGTATGATAAAGTTACACAATGCAATGGCAAGGTTACAGGAGTGGAGGAAAGAGAGAACGCTGTTCTGTAGATCTGCTGTTTGATAAAGTTACACAGTGCAATGTCCAAGGTTACAGGAGTGGAGGAAAGAGAGAATGCTGTTCTGGAGATCTGCTGTGTGATAAAGTTACACAATGCAATGACAAGGTTACAGGAGTTTGGAAAAGAGACAATGCTGTTCTGTACATCTGCCGTATGATAAAGTTACACAATGCAATGGCAAGGTTACAGGAGTTTGGAAAAGAGACAATGTTGTTCTGTACATCTGCCGTATGATAAAGTTACACAATGCAACAGGAGGGTTACTGGAGTTTGGAAAAGAGACAATGCTGTTCTGCACATCTGCCGTATGATAAAGTTACACAATGCAACATGAAGGTTACTGGAGTTTGGAAAAGAGACAATACTGTTCTGTACATCTGCCGTATGATAAAGTTACACAATGCAACATGAGGGTTACAGGAGTGGAGGAAAGAGAGAATGCTGTTCTGTACATCTGCCGTATGATAAAGTTACACAATGCAATGGCAAGGTTACAGGAGTGGAGGAAAGAGAGAATGCTGTTCTGTACATCTGTCGTATGATAAAGTTACACAATGCAACAGGAGGGTTACTGGAGTTTGGAAAAGAGAGAATGCTGTTCTGTACATCTGCCGTATGATAAAGTTACACAATGCAATGACAAGGTTACAGGAGTGGGGGAAAGACAGAATGCTGTTCTGGAGATCTTTTGTATGATAAAGTTACACAATGCAATGGCAAGGTTACAGGAGTGGAGTAAAGAGAGAATGCTGTTCTGTACATCTGCCGTATGATAAAGTTACACAATGCAACGGCAAGGTTACAGGAGTGTGGGAAAGAGAGAATGCTGTTCTGTACATCTGCCGTATGATAAAGTTACACAATGCAATGACAAGGTTACAGGAGTGGGGGAAAGACAGAATGCTGTTCTGGAGATCTGTTGTATGATAAAGTTACACAATGCAATGGCAAGGTTACAGGAGTGGAGGAAAGAGAGAATGCTGTTCTGTACATCTGCCGTATGATAAAGTTACACAATGCAACAGGAGGGTTACTGGAGTTTGGAAAAGAGAGAATGCTGTTCTGTACATCTGCCGTATGATAAAGTTACACAATGCAATGGCAAGGTTACAGGAGTGGGGGAAAGAGAGAATGCTGTTCTGTAGATCTGCTGTATGATAAAGTTACACAATGCAATGGCAAGGTTACAGGAGTGGGGGAAAGAGAGAATGCTGTTCTGTAGAGCTACTGAATGATAAAGTTGCACAATGCAACAGGAGGGTTACAGGAGTGGGCGAATGAGAGCGTGCTCTTTATGCTGTATAATATAATTACTCAAAAATTATTTACTTTATAAACAAAACACCTTTTTTACCACTAGTGTAGTTGAGTGGATGGACTGAAGCCCTTTGAGATCGGGCCTTATGCAATCTGTATAACTGAATCGTGCAATAATATATTGAGGCAAAATTTATAAGGGTTTCTTTTGACAAACAGTGACCATGTTATTTTACAAACTAAATTTAAATTGATATTGTCTGTTCAATCTAAAACTAACATAAACATTTTCAATTTTTAACTTCAGCCTTATCAATTGCTCTGGTTGTCACGAAGTATCACGCATATGTACACACAGAGTCTAGCATTTTCTCTTAGCAAACTAATATACGATCTAAATACAGTACATTGTATAAAAAACATTCGGGTGGAAACAGTTTATCGACGAATATACAATAAGGTATTACAGTTTATTACGATAATACCCCTGAATTGCCGTATTATAGGCCTACTGATTTTCTTTGTTCAATCCAAATTAGAACTAGATGGAATAATTTAATTCAGCTATTTAAACTTACTAGCAAACTGTCAAGCCAATGTTTATCCAAGGCTACGAATAGGCTTTTAGAAAAACGTCTTACTATTGATTGAAAAAAGTTACTGGCTACATGAATCATGCTGGAAATGTGCGCCTATGTCAATTAAATGTTTTTATTAGCATTCTGAAATCAAAGTATATTAAGGCTGTTATTAAATGATGTTGTGTTATTGACTCCATGCTAGTAGACTAAGTAGTCTACTTAATACACCTACTTACTAACGATTTCAAAGGGACAAGTGTCCGGATAGTGAAATATATATCTGAGCCTAGTGTTGGATGTGGAAACGGTTGAGTTCACCTACATTAACTAAATTGAATAAATATTTTGTTACTAAAATAGTATTTATCTACGCAAATGATAGTTAAATATGAAATCAAAATCAACTGTTCTATCAATTGTTACTTTTAGGCTTATATATAACAACAGTTGTAGACAATATAAGACTAAAGGTATTGTGATTCTAATTGTAGTAAGTACTTACCTGTAGTCGTATGAGGAGTCTGAAAAAAAGAAGTTGAATGAGAATTCTTTTTGTAAAAGGTTTATAACTGTCAATACCGTGTTCCAAAAAGAATGGATCAAATTTACATCTGATATACGCTGCATGGTAACTGGATGGCCAAGGGTCGTAGAAAAGTCAACTATGTCTGATTCTAAATCTGGATTTTTTTAGTTTTTCTTTTTACCCTTCACAATTAATTAGCTGTTCAATAGTTGTTGGTACGTAAGAATTCAAAAATGTACATTTGCGATATGGAGGTGCAGTTGAAAGCACAGAGAATTGAATTGTTTATAAAGACGAGATCTGTGGGTTTGTGAAAGATCAAGTGTGTCGTTCGCCGATTTCAAACGTAGATGAACGAAAAACAAAGATGAAGCAAAGGGAAGCCGTTGAAAAAATATCTAACGAAATGCGCCACAATGATTGACCACAGCTGGAACACTGACTTGTTCTTCGAGCAAATAACGGAGAATATGTAGAGGTTAGGCGATGAAACCATGGTAAAAAAACATATAAAGAAAAAAATGTATTAAGTAAACCCTTTATCTTTAACTGAGCGGAGCGAAACAAAGCGAGCAAAGCTCTTATACTACCCTCCTGCTTTTCTTTTACAAATACTCCTCCAGTACGGCTGAAGCAATCTGCACGAAAATTAGGAGTCATAGAAACCAGCCATGGGAAAGTATACATTTGAAAAGGTACGAATCGGACCACAGGGATTTTCCCGACGTGAATTTAAACTTCTGTAGACTTAACATAGGCCTTATGGATTAATTGGTCGCCATGATATTTTTTTGTGAGGTAGCAATAAAAAGGTAAACAAGAGTCGCAACATAGTCAACGAATCATCAAAAATAGCATATAACAAAAACCGTACAGAGAAAAAAGGAAGAACAATCGTATTTATATCATTGAGCATAATTTACTACAAATTTAAATGAATAACCAATAGTTAGGGTAGCGCGAATTAGGCTGATGCACCATTGACTTTAAATACTCCAAATAGCCATTCCATTTATGTGAACCGAATATAGCCCTACCATTGGGTTTGGATACTGCAAGTAGGTATTCCATTGCCGTGAATCAGACGTACCATTGACTTTGGATACTGCAAATAGGCACTCCATTTATGTGAATCGAATGAACCATTGACTTAGTATTATGCAAGTAAACAATTCATTTATGTGAACCAAATGTGCTATTGAGTTTGGATACTGCAAGTATATATCTCATTTACGAGAAACAGATGTAGCACTGACTTGAGAAAAGTATTGGATTAATGTGCTAGCTCCGCTCAATATTGAAAGCAGACAACCGCACTGTACACCTAGTAATAAAGTGATTATGTCAGTTTTCTTTTGATCCATTATCTTTAGACACCCGTTATTATGTTTGTTGCGATATATTATAGGTAGTTACCCAAAGATAATTATTGTAAAAGTAGATTCCTTGACCCATCCCCATTTACGGTGGCTGACTGGGACGGGTGGCGTCGTCCTGTAATCAAGCTACTAGGAGGTCACGAATAGTGGTTTTTTAGGCATGCACTGTGGATGCGATACTCCCTGGTGTGGATTAACGTACACACGAGTGAGTACTACGACCATCCGCAGTACTATCACAGAAAACATACTACTATAACCCAGAATGCCAACCGCATGGTAAAAACCATTAAGTGTTTTGAGAGAGCTTTGCCTATCAATCGTAGGCAGTGCCACCAGCGTTGCTGAGTGCATGACAACGCTGGTGGCGCTGCCTACGGATTGACAGGCAAAACTCTCTCAAAACGCTTAATGGTTTTTACCATGCGGTTGGCATTCTGGGTTATAGTAGTATGTTTTCTGTGGTACTATCCTGATAATTAGACCAATTCGTATATACCAAGGCAAAAATGTGGTTCGGATTCCACTATAAACGGTAGGTCCCTTAGTTGCCATTTATTAATTAACAGCTATGTCTAAGGAATGTCGGCCTTAGTCACTAACAAGACGACAAGATCGCGCCACTCATCCTACACTCATCTCCATTCATACTTGGCTTAAAATACCTACTTTGTGTGGTCGCCAATTAATAAGAAAGAAAAGAAAGTATGTTCGATAGCGGTATTTATGACCCTAGGGCCGATTGCGGTGGTTCAACTGCGACAAAGAATCTGATTGGTTGGTACCTAATTGGTAGAAGGTACCGACCTACTAACAGCCTTGCTACTACAGTAGTTATAGTTAGCAAGATGATGTAGCTAAAAATAAATACTCTTCGTGAAAAGCCCCATGGATTTATTTATCCTGTAGCAAACATTGCTCACATAAGAATTTGAGCAATGTTTGCTTGTATGTATATATGTTTGCTTGCACAAAGATCTCGAAAACGGCTTCGACTATTTCCTTCAAATGTTGTAAATGTATTTCTTTCTGTCCAAAAAACGTCACTGACGACAGCGACTACCTCATGACAATTCGTATTTCACTACACAACTCATTAGAAAATTAAAAAATACATTGGCGTTATGGGTTGCCAAGTAACTATGTTGGTTGAACAAAATAACAAGGAAAAAGTAAAAAAAAATACACGTGTGTATAACAAGCCATCCACATTCCACACTAGCAAATTACAATATACAGTACAGAGAGAAAAACATCAGTTGTTACTAATGAGCAAAGATTACACTGAAGATTACTGGATATAGGTGAAGATAGATCTGATCAAATACTGATTATTTTACTTGGCTCTCTCCTGCCAAAACGTAATCCCCGAAAGTACTGAGGCAATTGTTAGCAAACTTTGGTTTGACAGTGAAATAAATATTTGAAATATCAGTAAATAAAACGGTACTTTCCTGTTAAAGGGAACATTCATTATTATCGATTATTTCTTTCCGATACATCGATATTCTATTTTTGATCCGATAATGAACGAGATGTCAGCTGACAACTACGATAAGTAAATATTGTTCAGTATCAACAAACAATTTAAAAAATATTATATTGAAATGAAAATGTTCTGAACTAACCTTACCTAACCAACCAAACTTGCTGTAAAATTTCCTAAATATACATGCCTTTTCTTTTATCAAATGAAATTTTTTAATTATACAGCAAACCCAGCAAGTTTGGTTGGTTCTGTAAGGTTATTTTTGAACAGTTTTACTTGTTTATGTTTTGCCTAAACAAGATCAGTTGTCAATTTGTAATATAAATGTGTTTGAAGATATTAAAACAGAAGGTATGGATCGTAAAGGAAAACAAAAATATCGATATATCGAAAGAAATCAGATCGATAATAGTGAATGTTCCCTTTAACAGGAAAGTACCAATAAAACTTACCGGTGCACTATTGATGCAGTCTGTCAATATTGAGGGCTCTCTGTCAAATTTTGCGTAGTGAAGATGTGTGGTAACAATGTATTCTCTGGAGAGACAATCTTGATGAAAATTCCCCGAGAAGTATAAACGCTCAATCTTGTACTTGATTTTGAATTTCAAAACATCAACCGTAGGCCTAGTCACTTCATATCGAATTATGTCTTCCTTCACTTGATTGCAAACATTTTCAGTATTTCTTGGTTTAAATATATCTATTAGGTATCCTTCTGGTCCGTATATAAACACCTTGGCTTCTTTGCTATCTTTCACGCATTTTACAAGCAACTCTTTGCCTGCTACGAATGGTATATTGTATTTAGTTACGCCATCTTTCAGATGATTCTCTGGGTTGATGAACTTCGGCAAGTATTGATACAAATTAGAAAACTGGCGTTCTCGTTTAGGAATTACCTCAACTGAAAGATAAATATATGGGTTTATTATTATGAAAATATGTAGCATTACACAACTGTACTAGTTTTGATCATATCACAACAAAAATTTGAAACCCCCTTTCACTCAATTAAATAGACTTCTTCGAGTGTTGTCGAATTTAGTTCACAGTCTTTTTATTTTGTTGACAATTTGAAAGTATGTTAGTTGTTTTCAATTTTGGGTAACCTTTGAAAAGACAGGGTTTTGGTCACATAATGTAAAGCCATATAAACATTGGTTTTTTCATGTAGATTGTGGAAGGAAATGAACAAGTAACAGACAAGAATAAATTATCAAAGTCTACGAGTTTTAACTTGTATTCTAAATTGTTCAATTCAAATTATAAACTCAAAGCTTTAGTTCAATTAAGATTTATCATTATGATACGTTTTAGGTTTAAAAGATCATAACTTTTGACTGATAAAGTTTGGTGGAATATCTTTGAAGATGAACCTATTTGGCTGTAGTGCGATTATGTGTACATACGTGTCAAATTTTGAGGATAAATTAAAACAAACAGACTGGCATATATTCTTGGAATCGACAATAGTTAAATATACTTTAAACTTACCCTAGCCTACTTTTAGAAAAGTACTTGGCCATTATAAAATATTTACTGTGAAATAGAGACGTGATTCATAATTCCAAATCAACTAATGAACAGGTTTTTACCTAAATTATGGTATCCAAATTATAAGAGATGGTTGCTTTGAAAACAAAAAATTATATGAGTAAATATAAAATATTGAATCTTCTTGCAAAATTACTGTCGATTATTATATTAATAGGATAATGTGGGTGCTGTGAGTGGGATACACATAAAATAACTGTTCGGACATACAGTAATGATGATTTACGTTTCGTTTGAAAATCTCTTAACATATAAATTCAATGCAGACCCACCTTTTGGGTTTCAAGTTAGGGACCAGAATGATATACTATCGAGATGATAACTCTTTATAGACTACAGTTTTGACCAATTTAAATTATAGTAATTACAGCTAATTGTGTTGCTGATTATTCACTCATGCAATCAGATAAGTTCATTACGTACAAACAGGATAACGTTATACGACAGGCCAAGGAAGCAAGACTCGAGTTTGGTTTATAAAATTCAGTACTTAATGTTTTCTAATAAATTAGACAATTAAATATACTAAATTAATTCATTTCATCTTGAGCACTCTTTCGTAAGTAATACAACACGGTCCCTAAATGCCTGACAACATTTGTTTGTTTTGATCTTAAAAAACTTGACACGTATGAACACATGATCGCACTACAGCCAAATACGTTCATCTTCAAAAATATTCCACCACACCTTAACCGCTTCTAGCTAAACAAATCCAACTGTACAGGTTGTTACCTAAGTTTTAAACTACTATCTAAATAGAGAAATACTGATTATGGATATCGGTTATACCATGGCCTTTTATTTTCGACGTCAAAAAGCAAGAGGCTCCTTCAATATAGATCTGATGAATCTGAAACAGTTTAAGCCAATTTCAGTTTAAACACTCAACGAGCTGTTAGCCCGTCCTACTATCTAATACTATCTGATTGTACTTCAATAATCTAATAGTATCATCTAATTAGGTGAAAAAATCAACTATTCCCGCTATACCTCACTCTGTAACTCTACCTACGGTTGCATTGCCGTCTTTCGAAGTGGGATAAGTATACCATTTCATTGGCAGTTAATATCCATCACCCGATTATTAATCTCAACTAGTGAACCTGTGCGGATCAATGCCCCGCAAAATAACATAGGAATTTAGAAAACAAATTCATCGTGTTATATATTGACTCGACGTCGAAAATTAAATACAGTAATCATAAAGCCTTAGAAGAGGAGCAGTCCAGCCATTTTCTAGATGTATGTGTATTATATTTAGTAAATTAATAAGTGTTCAAGTTCAAGTTTGTTATAGGCAGCGAGCAAGGTTATAGGGTAGTTATTTTTTAAAGGTTTTTAAAACACATCTTTTACTATATCAAACCAATAGGTATGTAGCATATTTTGTGGGTCATAAAAATGCTGCTTTAAAGAAAGCACACTTTTAAAAATAAACACTAAAAAAACAATGTTTTTACCACAAAAGCACTTCCATGAATACTACGATTTTAGTCATAAAGTTACCTTCAGAAAGATTACCCTGCCGATTATTAATCTCAATTTATACAGCTATATTTCAAATCTGAATTCATTTAAAAAAAAAAATACCAGCTGTTAGTTAAACCACCACTAAATTAAACGACTAACTCGTCCGTCGGCTGCTAGACTTTTTTAATAATTTAAACTTAATTTCTAAAAAACTGGGACCCTAAACTAAAATTATGGCTTCGACATTCCCTAGTTCTCAAAATTATCTTTCTTTCAAGACAAAAATCATGAAAATCCGTCGAGTGGTTGATTCAGAATCGTGAAATAAAAAAACACTGTTTCGTTTTTATATTATAGATAGATTCCCCGAGCAAAGAATGGGTCAGCTGTTATTGTCAATTAAAAAAAAACAGAGAGTAAACAAAAAACAAACAACACGAAGAAAAATTTCGTCGTAGTCCTCACTAGTGCGGACATTAATCCACACCAGGGAGTATCGCATCCACAGTGCACGCATATACTTTACATCCTTAACCTGTATAAAATACAACTCTAGAAAAATTTCATTTTCATCAAATAACACAGTAAATATTAGAAATAATTAAAAGAGTATCTTAAGCAAATGAGTAAAACAGATAAAACCTTACCAGAAATGATCCAAAAACCACGATAAGTCTCATGGTACAAGAAAATGTGTCGTGAACTATTCGCGCACATGCATTTCGATCTCTAGATGTAGGCTTTCGTAATTTAGCTGTCAAACTGTGTAGTGACAAATGACAATTAATTGCCTACAAGTGGTATAATCTATCTAACTGACGTAGTACGCAGGTAAAACTCATAATTCATAAATGTATGCCGTGCACAAATTAATCTTACTTTGACGCAAATCGCTCACTGTTAACCGCCGAAGCATTAAAAACTGAACTCTGAAAAATATAAACGCGTACCTATATGAAAATTTAAAACTTTAAAATAAAATAAAAACCATTTTTGGAATAATAATGCGTATAATTTATATTATTTGAGTGCAACCAAATAGTTATTATCTAACTATGAAATACAGAAAATAAATCGAATGATTGTTTGGTAACCTTCCTCATAGCAAACCTGTAGACTACAAGAATTGAATTGTTAGTTATTTAGTGAAATCTTAAAAAAGGGGTGTTATAATAATAAACTTAATAAATCTTTCCCAGTACAATACAAAACGTGTTTCCCGAATGCATATTTAAGATGACCAGTATTTAAGATGCACGTATTTTTCAATTTGTGGTGAACTAAGACTCTTAGCAGAGTCCACTCATAATAACATAACAAATTATCATCTGTTTGAACTATTTACAGGTTAAGGAATATATTTTACCTAACCCGCCATGTTAAACTTCCCTATCCCAAGCGTGATGTATACAACTTCCTTACTTCTCGAGTGATGTAAAGTATCAAAAACTCACTCGGTGATGTAATGAAACCCATTTAAAAAACATTGAGTGATTAACTGAAATAGTTATTTGTGTAACTAGTGGTGAAAGTGGCACTTTGCTGCACACGAGAGCAATGTTTACGCACGAGCCGCAGGCGAGTGCGGAATGATCTCGAGTGCAGCAAAGGCCTTTTTCACTCGTGTTACACATTATATTTTTCCTACAGTCACTATACATCATATAAATAATAAGTCTTTCAAACACTATACAAGACGTTTTTAGATTCAGCTGGCAACACAAATGGTGTCCTTAGAGAAAGTAGTACCCGCGGTCCGTATCACTCCGCTATTTTTCCTCGGCAAGAAATGTGCTCCGCGTTTTGAGAATATAGTTCCGTATGTTTTTGTAATTTGAAGTGGTTTCCGCGCCTAAAAAAATGCTTTAAAGGTATTTTCTTGTTTATTAAGATCGTAGGAATGTTTTAAAAACGTTTAAAAGTAAAGTCCAGAAAGTTCAGAAATACCGAAAATATAAACACGAAATTACAGGTTAAATCGTAGTTATAATAGTCAATCAGCTGCTCATAGTATTTTAATCTTTAAGTGTTGCCAACCTATTTCCAAGCGTACACGGATTACGTGCATAATAGAACCACGCTGTTTTGTGTCGTTTCGTTGGAATCCTGATGAGCGGCAAAGTATAAACCGTACGGCAAAGTATAAACCGTACGGCAAAGTATAAATATGCAGCAATTAGCAGCTTTCTGTACTATAAACAGTACAAGGAAGCCAACTTTGGCACGTGACTGTAGGAAAACAAATATACCTCTATGGAGCCAACGACGTTCAACGCTAGAAATCAGCTGTGCGCTTGAATTTTATTGTTATGTTTTGAAGAATTTTCCTAAGCTAGCTTTTGTTTGTAAATGAACGTTACTGTTAGAAGATAAGTGAAATGGATAATGAAAAATATTGTTCGTAACCTCCTGTATATTGTCGGGTCAGGTAAAATCTTGTACGTTACACGTTTCGCAAAAGCGTGTTTACATCACTTAAGTAAATTATGCAACTCGCTTCCGCTCGTTGCACAACATTTACCTCCGTGATGTAAAAACGCTCTTACTACACTTGTAAGGTAAATAGCTATGACACCCCCACTTGATTTAATCTGGAAGGATAACCCATTGGTATTAATAAATTTAGAATTTAATACCTTTGTATATGAACTATAAGTTAACATACATCTTCGATCTATAAGACGACTTAAAACATAAACCTTTACCTTTAATGTTACCTTGAATTATTTGTTTTAGGTAACACCTATGAATTCTATTTATAAGGTAACTTAATCATTCCACTTTATTTATAAGATAATTGGCTGTATTTCCACAACAGTTGTAAACATATATTCCGCAGAGTGCGATACACCGGTCACCCTCTACTGGTTCTCATCCCTCTGTACCGACATTTACATACATTTACATAAGCCCCAAGTTCCATTCCATCACTACCTCAACTGGGGAACTCGTCTAATCGTTCGGAAAAGTTAAATATTCAATGTTGCGGTCGGAAGAATTGCGTTTTCAATATTTGCAGCATCTGTCTTTTCAAATCCGAAGAAAATCGTTGCAGTTGGAAAAAACGATCCGACTTGAAATTAAGTTTCTAGAGGCTTGAACTAACCGTCTCTCAGTGGTGAACAAAATTATAGAAATAAATTTGATCAAATGCAACAACGTCCGTAATGTTTTTTCAGCTCTTATACTGAATTCCCAAAAATGATACAGAAAGCAAGATGGTTTTACGTTAGTTAACGTTTTCAAGATTTAATTGATTATGTTTAATTGAGGCCGTTAAATTAAATAACCGGATAAGCAATCTTACTTATACTTTCTGCCACTGGCTTGTCAGCAACCCTTAAAGGTTAGCGGTAGGAGTATCTTTGATGTGATGTTATGGGGAAGATCACAATAGTTGCATTAACTTTTGAACAGTAATTTTGACAGCAATTGGAGTTATGCCATTTAGTTTTAGGTTGAAAGGAGTATAACATACTAAATTTTATTCCAAATCAGTCAAACCATTTCAGTTATGTTTTTTTTATAGGAAAATTACAGAAGTTGCAATAATTTCTAAACCGTAATTTTTACAGAAATAGAGGTCGTGCATGTTGATGTATTAAAGGTGGTTGGTCCCAGCAGATGAAAAATATTGACAAATCGAAACCTAACCCGGTAGGAACGATTTTGATTAAAAAACTACTATGTTATGGTACTCTTAGGCCTAACAAGAATTAAATCACCACTCGTTCATGATCACATTTTGATGATTCGTTTTTCATCACTTAAATTCCTCGGGCAAAAACCAATATAGAAAAAGTCGAAAGACAACTCCGACAAATCTGACTTCTAGAAGTCGTTTGGATCAAAAGAGAGCGCTACTTTCAAACAAGGCTAAGAAAACGCAATGACATTAAGAAAATAAAGCGGGGAAAACTTTGATCTTATACAAAAAGTTTCTCAGCGAAGCACGTGGCAGAGTAGGCTTGCTTCCTGGAAACTTTTAAATTAGTAAAATATGTTGAGGGATATTTACAAAACACTGACACGCCAATATGGGTAGAATAAATACCCCTGCTGCAGCAAACATACAGACTAGGCGAATTCCCATTTTAGTGATTGGATTTTACCTAAAATATTTCATATATTTATTCCCTATTCAAATAGCATCTACATTTTCAGGACGGGAAATGCAAAATAGGTTTCATATTTCAATATCATAAAACGTCTTTGCCGTATCCATAGGCAAAGATAAAACTAACTGTAAAAGGCTAAAGTCTGCAGTAAAACTCAATTAGTTTAATTAATTTGTATAAAATCTAAGTCACCAGCTCGACACTCTTCGCGTAATACAAAGTCACTTCACATTACTTGCAGCCATTGAATATTTGACTTGAGTCCTTTTGAAAAGCCTCAACCCCTCTGAGTCCTTAGAGGAAATGAACAGAGTTGACGCTACTGGCTCATTCGGTTAATGGAATGTATCCAACACAAGGAAAGTATTGCGTTTACTTGCAAAACTTCTTAAAATATTACTTACAATGTTAGATTTGTAAGTGTGATATGCTCACCTTTTAAGGCCTCCTTATTTTCATGTGTTAAGTAGGTCAAGTTGTAAAATATTCAGAAACTTTCATCAGGCTATCAATTATTGCAATATAACAAAAAGTCGAATATTAGTGACAAGAACAGGCTTTGTACAATTTTTACGAACAAAAAACACACATACAAGCTAAGCAAGGACCAAAAAGGTGACCGTAGATAATAAACATTAAGTGAGCCTAAATCGTAAACATTGATTAGAGAAAATAATTTCTATTTTGATTCAAAGTGCATTTTTTTTTATTAATCAGTTCCTCGTGCTTAAAAAAAACCTGCCTAATATTTTGCGAACGTAATCTGGTGGACAATATTTTGCACTAATACTTACATGTTCATTTTGTACATACTTAGAAATCAAACTTTATTCCGTTTCCTTAAAGTGTTCAACTTAATATTATTAACATTAATATCAAAATTTTACATTACACAATACAACAGAAAACCACGCCTAAGTTAACATAAAATATAGCAAATATTAATCCGGTTTAAAAGGGGTGAATTTTTGCTGAACATACCCTTAGTATCCCCTACTCAAAAACGCAGCCTGCGCTTTTTCACATAATGTGTTTGGACACAAAAACTTATTCACAGATCTGTTCTTTTGCAGAACGAAGGGTAAAATTACACAAAAACTCCCCTCGTCCTTTTTGAGAGATTTTGACACTCAATGGGAAATGTCGCTCGGAGCTCGAGGCATTTTGGGATCATTAAATGCTTGATTCCCCAACGTGAAATTGTATCCTCTATTAGCAAATGAGCTCATAAAGTACCTTCTCTTTATATTGTGAAAACATGGAAAACGTGAATTGTTACTTTGCCCGGATTTTACCATGCAATAATAACATCAAAATGCAAGTTATATTGTTAAAAGATTTAGGTGTCCCACCTGTAACGAACAGCTGTTCGGATCAAGATTATTTTTTCTAGCTGTCACTGATATGTTTACATTAAATGTTGTTTACAAACACCGCAAACATTTCCAATAACGTTTTTAAAGCAAAATCCAAACCAAGTGAGATTAAAAAGATTTTCCTTACATAAAGGATTTAATTAATCGAAAGTTCAATAATGTGTATTGTAACCGTAAATGAAATTAGAGATTCTTTGTGTATACGATTGTTCTGAAGTTTTGATAACCGGGAAAAAAGACCTTGAATCAGTGTT